CCTAATTAAACATTGGAGGGAACCCTGGTGCTCTGTGGGGGACTCGGAAACGCGTGGGGCAACTAGCTGCCCGTCCCCCGAGGTGTATCCGGAAACCGGGATTCTCAAAATATATTGCAAAATATCCGCGCCTATATGAACGCATGGACAAACTCACGACTGGTATTTTCGGACACTTCTTCCTGCGATGGGTAGGGTAGAAGGCGAAAGCGTGCTCAGGAATGCCATAAGAGTAGTGCTGTCCTGATGCCGAATGCATTCGGAACTGCTTACAAATTGATAACTTTATCTCTGGCCCGGAATCTGACGGTTAGCCGGTTTTCCTTCTGCTCTGATTCACTAGTACATTCCTATCCCTCCAATTGTCCCACCCTGTGCCCTGAAGCTGAGGAGAAATGGGGCACGGGCAGGGGCTCCTTCCTTCCCCACCTCGACTAGCTTTAAGTATTTCGGGCAGTTGGAGGATCTGCAGGGGAGATCAACTGAACAGCAGTATAAGAAAGGGCTAGACTAGAGTTTGACCGGTAAGATGGAACAATAGGAAGGGACTTTGCTCTCTCTTTCAGCATCTTCTCTAAATTGGCGGTAAAGATAGGCATATAAGTAAAGCAAAACAAAAGTACGGCGCAAAGTAGGTGGGTCCTCCGGTGGGACGGCGATTCCGTTGTAACCGGTCCAAGCTGAGCCAAGAATTTGCAAGGCATGATGAATAAGGCAAAATTACGCACCGTCAGGCAATGAGAGGAGTGGATAAAGTGGAGACAACTATGGCGATGTACCTTAGAATTGTAGTTAGGATCCAGGATATATTCCCTTCTATATTGAGCACCTAGGTTCATTTTCTTTGATTACTAGCCTGTCTTAGCAGGAAAGCAAATAGAATCTATCAGTCAATTGATATTTAATGATCTGAGTCAATTGAGCCACTAGATATATATCTACATCTTGTTAAATACCAAGAACTTTCATTTATGAAATCTTCAATATTGCATTATTTTCAAAACTATAGCCTGCAATATGAAGGAGAAAAATTCAACTTTTCTCACCTGGGATTTGGGTAATACCCATATCCACTTCTCCTCATGCAAACAGAACTGCTAGAATCCAATTTTTAGTTCTTGTTCTATAGTTGACAGCAAAAAAAATGATAAGATATCACTTGTGCACTTTTCTAGTGGAAATTATTTTAATAGCACTTTTTCTTTTCATAAATATCAATACTGAGTCACTGCCACCCACTGTTTCAAAAATGAAGTAGTTTGCAGTAGTGGTAGAGTAGTGGTTGTCCATTTTCTCACTTTTGAAACTATTATAAGAGTGACCCATAACTAGGTACAATACGCTATACTGGTATTTAACGGGAAAGAAAAGTAAAGCAATCGGACCACCCGGGAACGGCAGTCCCACCACCATGTTGCTAATATGTTCAACAGCCCAATGGCGGATAATGAAAAGGGAGAATGAGGCTACTTGCTGTTGAAGTAATGAGTGATAGTGTGTCGTGGTTGGTCATGGAAGGAATGGAAAGTGGAAGGATAAGGTTGTTCGCGGGAGTGGCAGGAGTGTTTTTTTTTCGGGATTTAGCAGTAGGATAGATTTGTTTGAAGGCTAGAAGAGGATTTCACAGATGTCTTTCCTTTGTTATTACGGATGTGAACAGAGGAGTTTGGACATGAAGGGAATGTGAGAGATGGGTGTAGTGGTTTATGGAGAGGTTAGGTTGCTTTGATGGTGTTTTCCTTATACACCTGTCATTACCTATGAGCGAAGGAGAGAGAGACGCTGAACACACTTTTCCCATTGGTCCCACCACAAATATTCTCTATACTGTTCCATTCTATTAGCACTGCGCATTTTGATAGCAACCACCATCACAACCATCACAACACTTGCTTGAGCGGCCATTCCTTGTACTGTACTGTGCTGTATTGAGACATCCGTGCTGTTTTTTTTTTTTTTCAGCCATGGTGCAACAACAGTGAATGGGAATTACAGTGGAAAAAACAGGTGGAAGAAATCAAACCCACGTGATGTGTGAGAATTTAAACTTAAGTCGGAGGGGGGGGTTCCCCCTATGTTCCATACTACTAATGTATGCCACCCAACCCCCTCAATATATTTGGGCACCACGTATTCAATTCTGATGCGTTTTCTTTACTCTCTTCAATTCTGTGATCTTCAGCACCGTGGTTCACATACACAGTGAAAAGGACTTGCACAACGCTTGTGTACAGGTGCTATGAATGCGCCAAGTCAAAGCTGGCTGGAAAGGTTAAGGCAGAGAATTCAGCTTTGGAGACCAATTCTGAAGGGTCTACCGCTGAAAGTCGTATAGAAATAGGTGGTTCTGATGTAGATAATTCGAATTGAACAAAGGGGGTGGGTGGTAAGCACCGACCAATACAGAAGTTACGGAAACCCCCCCTGGCGGAAACTACTCCCTCTGACTTATCCTCCGCCCGGTGGGGCTGGGGAAAATCTTTCTCTGATCTTGGTAATGTCTTAGCCACATTGCGCTCTACGCCGACCTTCAGTACAGTACTAGTACAAGGATGCAAGATGGTAAGATAAGAGAAAGGACTTTCCTCGTCCACCGCCCCATGCAAGTGCGAGTACTGTACAGTACTTGGCCACTGGTACCCCCTCACCCCTACCCCATCTTCACCCTAACTTCTCATGGATTTACCGGAGCCTTTGACACTCTTGACGGTGTTTGAACCAGCGAGCGAGTTCTTGGATCGGGGGAAAAAACGGCCAGAGCAGATCAGATGAGCCGACTCCCTTCGGTGTCCGGCGATCCGGGAGCAATAGAACCCTGTTTTTAATAAAACCACTCTCCGTTAGTCGCGACTATGGCCAAGCTTGTAATATATATTTGGCTTGCTAGTGGCTCACATGTTATGCAGATATGCGGATAGGCACATTGTTGGTATTGCGTGTCTCAATGACAACTTCATTGTGGAGGGAGGGGGTTAGTTGACACAGCTAACGGAGATTCTTCCCAAAAGATGTATAACAGGATTCCTGGATGTTCCTAGATAAGTGAATTCTGCACCCAAAAAGCCTTTCACCCCTCGGAAACTCTCAGAATGGCCAAGGACCTTTTCCCCACTCTCTTCCGGCACTCTCATGTATTGATAGGCGGGCCGAGCCTAATATCAGCAGTCGGCCACAAACCCTCCGCTAGCTAGGGTATATAACGACAAGGTTCACCGGTACTTCTATCGCTTGTTACCAGCGGACTGTTTGTTCAAATGGGCTTGTGAAGCTGTTCTCAGACGCTACGGAGGTGGCGGGAACAACTCCCAGCGAGAACGGTGCCAGTCAATACCATAAAAACACGAATGATGGAATCGTGTGCTATGTTGAAGTTGGCTCCTCTAGTATCTTCTTTCTCTTTCCTCGGCCTCTCGGGGAGGTTGGCGGAATCCTCTTCGCTTTGTAATGTAGCAAATCCTCAACTATATAGCACGAGGTTCTATCATTCAGGTTTCTAGGGTACTTGAGAGTGAAGCTGGATGATTGTTCTAAGTAACGGATGGAGAGACCAGATCCGAAGAATCACGGAAACCACTCCCCAAACGTTGTCAAGAGTTGATGGAAGGTAGTGAGTTGTGGCTGGGCCTGGAGCATTCAGCGAGGTTGGGGGTTGATCTTCTAGAGTTATAGTAATTTATATAAAAGCTTCTCCAGACACTTGTTTCCCTCTCGATCGTGCGGGTATGTGAGTAAATGGAAACATGCGTGGGGGCGAAATAGTCCCTGTGATAGTCTGCGGGAAAATCAGACCGATTTCATTATGTTTCATATCCACTTCGGTCTTTACCGCTAGTTTCGACTAACCCCGACAGGGGAGAAGAATCTTATAGCTGTATCATACCTTTCCCGCAGCTGCTCCACCCCACTTAATTCCTATCCTATTCTCCTCCCTATGCAGCTAGGATATTTATCCTCCCTCCCAAGTAATTGCGCGTATCAAGGTAACAGAATCTGGCTAGTATCACAGAATATCACCCGTAATACACCGATTCTAGGAAATTCCGCCACAGGAAATTGCTCTAATTCTCCCCTGCAAACACAACTCACGTATGGGCTCGCAAAAGGGCTTTTTAGGGAATTATACCGGAAGATCGCATACGTAATGCACGCTGTGAAATATTGAGAGTATCGCGAAAGCCGGGATGGAACGTTCTGTGGTGGATTTTCCCTGCTGTACATTCGTAATTATGAAGTACCAAATCACGCAAGTGCGATTTCACAAAGACGGTGATTTTTTCCTTCTGCCAGTTGATGAGGAGGCATAGAAGAGGGCGAGGGGAGAGTTAAAAAAAAAACGGAGGAGCACGATGATACCCTCCCCACTTAGCACTTAGAAAAAGCGTATGTTGCCGGGCAAGGCCCAATTCAAAATGTTTATCGAGGTACCAGTAGTGGATAAGGCAAGAATATTCAGGAAGAGTGCTACAGAGATAGAACGTATACACGATGAGGATGATACGAAACGCTCTCCACTCATTCCCGGATCCTGAACCAAGTCACCTTAATATTCATGACTAACCTTTTCCTGGAAATGAAATAACAGGCTACCTTTCATATAATTAGCGCTGAAACTGCCACACCCACTTCAGTTCGTTTCGCATGCAGACTCAACAGGTCCGTTGAGTGAGTGGGGGTTGTCGGGTTGGTGGGGTTGAGTCGGACCTGGGCCGGGTTTGGCCGCGTCAGGTTAGTTTTTGGACCCAGGTTGGCCTATTGGAAGCTTGGTGGAAAGTGTTGGTTTGTGGGCGGTACACTGATCACGCCGGATATGGTTTGCCAGATATTTTTTCCACTCGGAGGGCTGCACGGTGACCCACTGACTCTATCCTGCGACAAGCTCTTAGATGCAGGTTCTTGAACTCCTAATTTACGATCCGGTAGTAGCCTAACCCGACATCAACCAGCTTTTTTCGGACGGTTTTGGGAGTGTAGTTTCAAATAACCATTTAGTTATTGAATAGTACAGCGTAGGAAGTCCCTTCTCATTAGATCTATGGGAGCGTGAACAATCCTATAACTGTTATAATATTAGGGCTGGCGTATGCTGGCTGTGGAATAAAGAAGAGAACAAGGGGAAAAAAAGGAAGGAAAGACTACTCCTAACCACTAAGTGGGTGAGAATAATTTATCTGGGAAATAGTGAAAGTCGCTATAATGTTGGATCCCAAGCGGGATGTGGGACCGGGTGATACTGCATGGGGAGGAGGACTTTAATGAATATGGGAACCTTTGTGTGACATAGAGGGAACTAACGGACTCGAAAATGCAAAAGGCAACTAGAATAGAAAGAAAAAGCGCGCTTGGGAAAGGTATAAGGTAGTGCTGTCGTGATGCCGGATGCATTCGGAACCACCAATGAGGCGCTAAATATCTGGCGGGGCATCTGACAATTAGCCTGCCGCCTGTCTACTCCGATGCACTGTGATAGCAAACCCCCGTCCCTCGGATTGCCTCGCCCCTATGCGCAAAATAGGGTAGAAGCAACACTCTCCTTCTTCTTTCCCGGCTCCAAGTAATTCGCGCTGCTGGGGGATCTGTGCGGGGGGGGGAGGGGTTAAATTAAGCAGCGGTATAAGAAGGGGACTATCCTGATGCTTGACCAGGACAGGAACAATAGGAAGGGCATGGTCAGGAACTTCTTTCTCCTTTTCGGCATCTTCTCTGAACTGGTGGGAAAGACAGGCGCTTAAGTAAAGCATAACGAAAGTATCCCGGTCCTTCCATGAATCACCACATGTTTCTCCTCTTCCCCTGCATGTTTCCAATCCTCCACACACACACCGGTGATACTAAAGAAAAGACATGAAATGTATGGAGAAATCACGATAACTCCAAAGCAAAAGAAGCTGCCTCCAGTATTCGCGAGGGCTCCACGAGCAACCGGAACTAACTGCCCTTTGCCAGAACCTTCGAAAAATTCAACACGAGCCCCACCCACTGTACTTTAGCGTGACCTCTTCCTCCCCCAGCCAGCTCGTGCCATTCTTGGCTTAAGGTAGGCAACCAGCCCCACGGGATTCCTCCGGGTTAAAGCTCTCAAGAGGACCAGTGCGGCGCCATTGGAAATGAGGTTATAGAGAACAGAATACAAGATACGTACTGACAGGGTGCTAACATCCTGACTTTGTATCACAAATCCGGCAGCTGAAGCATCGACCGAGTCTCCTTCTCCATGGGCGAGGTTAACCATATTTCCGTGATTGTATGTGGTTGTATCCCGCAGCACATTCCGAGAGCTAATCCAACTACCCAGCACCAAGCGCTTGAAATCACCGTGCATGCTAGCCGAACCGGCGTCGATAACATAAAACGGTTCCAACGAGTGTGAACCCGTTCTAAGTGAAGATATCCCCAAGACCCTACCCAGACTAACCACGCGCGGCAGCTCAAACTCCAGAGGAAAGACTGTATCTGACCAGAGCTTGTGCAGTTTAAGATCAGGCAATTCATTTAACCGCCAATTATCCACATCTTTACCACCAAGATGCCATGTCTTTGTTTCCCAGCAACTAAGGACAGGTCGATTTGGGAGGACTTGATATGGAGGGGTACCGTTCGTTCGAGTCTCCCTAGTAGAATACCAAGGGTCCTGGCTGGCGGTGTAGCTGTAACGACCAGCGGTGTTTGCAATAATGGCATATGAGAGGTTTGGAGATCGGTCGAGTATCTGCTTTTCGTCGTGGAAGAAAGCCAACCACGGAGGGGTTGTTGGTTGTGCGTCGGGTTTTATGTGATAGGTTTCATTTCCACCCCAAAGCCTATAGGTATCTCCCTCTTCTGTGGTGTTCACCAGCCATGTATATTCTGAACGACACCCGCCCTTGACTCGGAGCATCAACTTCGGATCACTCTGTAATCCCATATCTGCTCCGGTAACGTTGTAACTGTAGTTTAGGTTTGAGATAAAGCCCGCTGTCAGCCCTTCTGGTGGATCCACCGATTCTATTACCACCCGCTTGCGTCGGGCTTGGGGATCGGGACCTTCTATAGCTGCCATTGCGCGAAATGCCGAATCAATTTTCATTGATTTTACCCTTAAGAGCCCAGTGGTGTCACCTTGTCGCTCAAGAGTATTGATATCAGGATAAAAGACTTTGTCAGGATTGGCTGGGGCGACATTCCCCACGATCAGTTTTGCGCCAACAATAACTCCCAGTGCGAAATCCGTGAGGTATAAGCTGAAGGAAACAAGAAAAAGTAGTAGAGATAAGATCAGATCTTTAACTCCGGGAATCTCGTTGTTGGGAATGTGGGTATCGGTGGCCTCTGTGCCGGAGATCTCTCGGTCGGTGGTCTCTCTCCTTTCTAAAGATAACCTTTGAACTTCGGCATGGTGTCCCCGGTTGGACCCCTCTCTCTGATCAATGCCATCGGAATCCAACCCGGACTCTCCACTCTGATCTTGGGTTACCTGCCGACCAGAACACCGGTCCTCATAGACGGGCCATTTTGGAACGTTTCCTCGGCGTCTCTTCTCCTCAGGAGTCTTCCGAAGATAGAATATCATTTCATAGATGTATTTCAGCATCGCCATCGCGATGTTCAACGAACCAACCTTCCAAAGGTTGAAAACTCCACCAAACCACCCACCATGAATCTCTCCAGTGAATGCTATAACCAACACTCGTACCGACTCCCATCCCAACATAAAAGTGAAAGTGCTATAGATGGTCCAGATAGCTACGATTAAATGGGTCTTTGTGTTTCTCATGGCGAGTACCCGGGTCCCACCCGAGTCCGTCGGCATCGTGAAATGATCTCTCCAATTCATCAGATAGGTGTCTTTCGCGGGGTATGCATAGATGTCCATCATGAGACGATGTGATTTCGGTATACTAGGGTCCGGCTTCATCAGCTTAACTAGTATTTAGCCTAAGACGCTTGTTTGTCACATACCAGATTATTTGTGGTATCCTTCGCTAGATTTAGGTCGGGCTCAATCAACCACCACCAGCAGATGTCTTTATCCAGGCAGTTGTCAGGACCGGCGAGTGTGGAAGAAAAGTATATGTCCGAAATTCCTCCTTAGGGCCGCCAACGAAACCCCCCAGCCATCGAAATTCTTGCGGAACCCTAGACTCAGTGCAGGTGGTTCACTATTCCCGAGAGATCAGTAGCCCGGGGAGGGAAGTCATGCTAGTTATAAAGGTTTCCTTCATCCAAAGGGCAATACAGGATGTAAACAGTATAAATTGTCTTGTTCTTGGTATTGTGGTGCTCGAGAACCCGATTGGTAAGCCATTGCGGTTGTCCTGCAGGAATTACCGTAGGGTGAGCCTTGCACGGCACTGGTGACACAGGCGAGGCTCAATGTCTGCTTTTAGGCGAAATTGCACATTAGGCAACAGCCGAACCTGGGCATATAGCACATTGCGACATAAGGCCTTGGGCATAAGGCACTCATAGGACCCACGGCGTACCAGTAGTACTGTACTGTACATTAAAGAAAACTCTTACCATTCGCGATCGGATTTCTTTGGGGGTAGCGGTAACCACCTTGCATATCTGGTTTGGCAAACTAACAAAACTGGGAAAGCCAGTTGATGAGATCCGTCTCATCCAAGGGCCCCACATTATACCGTGTCAGGAAAGCACCAATCACTCTCAAGAATTTTTGTCTCTGGATCCGACCAGTGCTCGTTACCCACTCGTGCGGTACCAGCCAACTTCCTATCACTCCCTACAGCACAAAGCTCCGAGCACACTCCAGAGGATCAAGGGTATCGTAGGTCCTTTGAGCCCGTCTGGTAGGCCCAGTTTCTCTCCAAACACCCGAAAAGGGGATTCTCTCCAGCTGCCGGATGATAGTTAACCAAACATTTTTCCTTTGCCAAAAGTTACTCACACATATACCCTGGTCATTTCGGCGAACGAGCCGAAGATCGACAGACCCGAGCGCACACCCTCCCCACGGATACACGTCTTGGTGCAAGAGCTGAAAGGATGGAGCCAACCGGAAACAAGAGATGACTGAGGTCAGCCATTTCTGGGCGATCCGAAGGAACCATCATGCCACATTCGAGTGTCTATTGGCTACAGCAACCGGGCCGCTTGTGCTCGAGCACTCAAGTGTTTTGGTACAGTACTACGGTACTCGTAGGACTTGTGAAACCACTCGCAGTCGGGGGGGGGGGGGGTGGCGATAAACTCGTATCGGCAAACGAGGAGCAAATGTGGGTGCGAAGAATAAAAAAAGCGCCTATTCATTGGGGCGTCTATCACACAGGTAGAGTTGCTTTCCTCCTTCATATATCCGCTTGTCCTTATGATACCTTACCCCGCGTATGCTACTGGCCCCCTTCGTAATTTGGCTTGCCCCAAGGTAGAGCCCGTAGACACAGGCCAGGCGGGGCAAAGGTTTAGTGACCCAGATCCGCTTATCGGTACCGGTAGGGTTGCGGGATTGATATTCTTGCAACTGGGGTCCAATACAGGTTTGCCTTCTGGGGGCGTAGGCAGAGAGAGTTCATCAGCGTTCCAAGCGCAAAAAATATTTAACCTTATTTGCTATGATAATCGAAGCGCTCACTGGGACGTCCAAAATTCCCTCTCTCGGATATGGGGGCCAAATTACCAAGAAAACCGACCCACTTAGCCCTAGTTGGGCACAAGGAAAAAGTAAAAAAGTGCCGCATCCTAGGAGCAAAACTCCAACGTCCCCGATAGGTTTAATTATCCCAGTAAATACGGGAGCCGGAGGGGAGCCGGAGGGGTAAAATCTAGAATCCCAGTCGGTATCGGTATGTAACGAGACAGGGAAGTGAAGCAATAGCACCGCCGAGTATGGCGGTCTCACCACCGTGTTTCTAATGTGTTCGGGAGCCCAATCACGGATGGCGAAAAGGGGAGAATAAGGCTCCTTGCTGGAGCGACCATTCTTGTACTGTGCTGCGCCCGTACTCGTACTCGTACTCGTACCGTGCCTAAGCATGGTGCAATAATACCGAATTGAAGCAAAAAAAACAGGTGGGGGAATCGGGCCCGTGTGGTGGCAGGCGAGCGTTCGCCCCGTCATCAACTCCGGGATGTCTCAGCCACACGGCAGTCCCTTCTGATCCTCGGTGCAAGGATGTGGGACCGGAAGAGAAAGCGCGATCCTGGCTGACCCCCTCCCCCATTGAAGCACAGCACTCTACATACCGGTACCGTACGTTCTCAGCCCTACCCCATCCTTATCCTCACTTCGCATGAATTTGCTAGAGCTTTTGGTGCTCTTGATGGTATCTGAACGAGCAAGCAAAATCTTGGATCGGCGAAACAGCCAGGGCAGATCAGAGAAAGCGACTCCCTCCTGTATTCGCGATGCGAGATCTAGAAACCCTGTTTCAAATATAGCCACTCGTCATCAATCGCGATCACGGCAAGCTAAGGTTAAGTTTACAATATCTATTTAGCTCGCCATCAACTGACACATTATGCGGATAGGCATACCGTTGGTATTGTGAAAATTATGAAGGGAAGTGTGGAGAGTTTGAATGAGAAGCGTATAGAGAGAAATGGAACGAGTATACCAAGGATAGACTTGTTATTCGATGACCTATGATACTCTACATACGACTGTGGCCAGAGGGGACCCTTTAAATACAAAAGTGAATCGCCAACTCTCCCGGGAGTCCCCTAAACATAACCACGCCACTTCTGTATTTTCTCACACCATTTCCTTACCCCTCTTCCCCCTCCCTTCTGTCCCGTTTCCACGTACCTTTTTACTCCTCACTTCGTATACTTCACCGAGTATCTGACTCCGGTGATTCATCCGATATTCTTCTCGCATGTTCTAACATAATGGCAGGTAGGGATCCTCACCGAAGGATTGCCAGTGATTAACAACAGGTATCGCTTGTCTCGACGGCAATTTCCTTGAGGAGAAAGAGCGTGGCTGCAAAAATAATGGGAACTGCCTCAACGCAATTCTAGCCGGACACCAGATGTCCCTGAACAAGTGGATTCGGCATCTAAAAGGTCTTTCAGCCCCGGAAACTCTCGGAATGGCCAAGGACTCTCTTCCGTACTTTCTCCTAGTATATAACTTGGCCTGTATTGATAAACAGGCCAAATTTAATATCAATAGTTGGCCAACAACACTCCGCTCTCTCGGGTATATCAATGTTAGAAATCCCGAGGTGATGCTCGGCATGCTCTCACGACGGTTTGTTTGTTCGGGAGCGCCCTTGCTTGGGGTTTCGGGCACGATATGGCTTGGGGCGCACATAGGCTTCTAGCCGCGCAGTTTGGCTTTTTGGGAAAGCGCTTCGATCGCAGGAATGTGCGGGAGTCTAGGAGAAGCGCATCCGATGGAAGGAGGGTACGAAAGAAGGAAGCGGAAAGGCTATACAGAGGGCCGGAGACTAGGAAGCCGGAGTTTGTCTTTTCTGTTAGCTTTTCTTGTTTGCTCGTTTGTGGGAGACGTACCTGGAAGGATGGGGGGGCGAGGACTTTGTTGTCGGTTTTGCGTCGTTAATATATACTCCTGTCTCTACCATCAGTTAGTTAGTTAGTTGAGAGAGTGCGCGATGGTTAGAGAGGTTAGCGAGCTGAAGAGCTTTCCCCCCCGCCCCTACCGGTAGTTAAGCGATCATTTTCACGTGAGTGATCTTGGCGTTTCGTTTCACGGCCCACCACTCGTTTAGTTTCTTACTGCCGCTCGTTCGTTCGATCGTTTGCGATATCGTTAAAGTCTCAGCGATCGACGCTGAAAAATCACGACAAGCCCACCGGGGCTTCTATCGCTTTTTACCAGTAGACCGTTCACCCAAAAGGGGTTTGCGGAGCTGTTTTCGGAGGCTATGGAGATGGTGGGAACAACTCCCAGAGAGAACGGTGCTCGGCATGCTCTCACGGTGGTTTGTTCATTCGGGAGTGCGCTTGGGGTTTTCAGGCGCATGGTAGGAGTAATGAGGAGGTGGGCACACGGTCGATGGAGATGAATGCGAGTTGTGCAAGGAGGGTGTGAAGAGAAGAGAGTGTGTTCTATTCTACTGAAAGGATGCTATCTATGATCTTTTTATATAGACAAAACCACAGCGGGACTCAACCCCAACTGAATATGTAAATCCACACAGAAGACTTATTGACCCGAACCCTTGCACATATGATTCCACCCACACATCAACATCTCCAGGTATGCAGGCATACATGATTTTACATCTTCTCATCTGCTCCCCCGGACAAGCAATGTAATACCGGGATTATCCTTCCGTCAGCGCAGATAGGCTTTCTTGGAAAAGCCCTTCGACCACGGGACTGTGCGGGAGTCTTTGGAGACATGCGTCCGCCGGAAGGATGGCGGAGGGACTAGGAGGAAGGCACGAAGGAAAGAGGAAGGCAACAAGGAGGGCCCGAGGTTCGGTAGCCGTAGTTGGTCTTTTCTTTGTTAGCTTTTCCTGTTTGCTTGTTTGGGGGAGACGTACCTGGATGATGAGGGTGAGGACTTGTCGTCGTTTCTATTATTGATATATACTCCTGTCATTACTGTTAGTTAGATAGATAGAGGGCGCGATAGGTTGGAGAGGTTGGCGAAGTGAAGAGTTTTTTCTCCCCCCCCCTCGCTGTGAGTTGTGCGATCATTCACGTGTGTGAGCTTGGCGTTTTCGTTTTACGGCCTATCACTCGTTTAGTTTCGGTTCGGAGATTGTTTCGCAGTTGGTTCGTTCGCTCACTCGTTCTTCGCCGTTCGATTTTCGCCTCCCGTCCGCCGTTCGTTCGTTTGCGATATCGTGAAAGTCTCCGCCGATCCGTCGTCTAAAAAAACGTTCAAATGATGGAATGTTGTTGGAGCTGTCTCTCTGGTAAGGTCTGGTACCCTTATTCTTTTTCTCTTCGCCTCCCAGAGGGGCTGGCAGGCCCTGTTTTGATATGCTTTTTCGCCCCTCCTCAAAGTAGTGAATGCTCGGCTATACAACACTCGATTCGTTTATTCGGGTTCCTACGGCATTTGAGAAAGAAACTGGATGATGGTTCTAAGAGATGAATGGAGAGCCAGCTCCGAAATCATAGGAATAATCCAAGAAACCATTACCCAAATGTTACCAAGAGTTTATGGAGGGAGGTAGTGGGTTGTCGTTGATCCCAGAGCATTCAGCGAGTTTAGGGTTGGTTTTGCTCCTAGTGCTATAGTAACTTTATAGGGAAGCTCCTCCATACACTTGTACCGCTATCACGGGGGTATGTGGGTAAATAGAAACATGCGTGGGGTGAAACGGTATCTGTGATGGCCCGCGGGATAATCAGACCGATTTCGTTATGTTTTAAATTCGCTCCTGTTTTTTACCGCTAGTTTAAATTGACCGCCGAACGGGGAGAAGTTTATGGCCAAAACACACACCCCGCGGCTACTCCATACCGCTCAATTCCTATTCTATTCCACCCCCTATGCCGCTAGGTTATTTATCATCCCTCCCAACGAATTGCGCGTATCCAGGTAATAGAATCTTAGGAGATACTCCAAAAACTACCGCGTCTATCTAGCTAGTGTCACGGAATATCACCCGTAATACACATACTCAAGAAAATTCCTCTACCGAAAAATGTTCTAGTTCTCCCTCGCAAATACAATCAATGTAGACGCTCCCCAAGGGGGCGTTTAGGGAACTATATCTAAAGATCGGATACGCAATGCATTCGGTGAAATATGGAGAGTACGGCAAAAACCGGGATGGAATCTTGTGTGGTGGTCTTCCGCCGCTGCACATTAGGAATTATACAGTACTAAATCATGCAAGGGCGATTTCACAAAATCAGTGATCCCGTTCTTCCGCCGGTCAACGGAGGGGCAGAGAAGAGGGCAAGGGGAGGGTAAGAAAAAAAAACCCCCCCCGGAGGAACACCGTCATACCATCCTCAATTAGCAATTAGTAACCCATATGCTGCCGGGCAAGTTTCAATTCAAAAATTTTATCAAAGCAGCAGTAGTGGGTAAGTCAAGAATGTAAAGGAAGAGTCCTGGAGAAATAGAACAGATACACGGTGAGGATGATATTAAAAGTTCTCCACTTATTCCCGGATATGAACCAAGTCATCTTAATCCTCATGGCTCTAACCTTTCTCCCAGAAACAGAATAGCAGGTTATCTTTCATCCTACTATTACTGAGACTCCAGGACCGGTTTCAGTTCATTTCCCATGCAGACCTAACAGGTTCATTTAGTGGATACAGGTTGCCTAGTCTGTGGAGCTGAGCCGTGCCGGTGCCAGGTTATTCCCGACCCCGGACCGGCCTATTGGAAAGCTTGGTGGAAAGTGCTGGTTTGTGAGGGGTACAAAGGTCATGCTGGATGTATTTTCCGCTTGCCGGACTGGAGGTTAGTTATTTGACCCCATCCCTCAACAAGCTCTCATACGCACGTTATTGAACTCCTAATTCACGGCTCGCAGTAGCAACGAGTTTGTTGAACGACATTTGAAGTATGGTTTCTAATGGCCATTTAGTTATTGAATAGTACAGCATAGGAAGCCCCCCTCACTAGTTCTATGGTATTGTGAACACCCATATACCTATTATACTATTAAGTCTAGCATACTTTGTTGCAGAATAGAGAAGAGAACAAGAGGAAAAAAGAGAAGGAATGACTTCTCCCAAGCTTTAAGGGCTTAAGGAAGAATTCATCTAGGAAACGATGAAAGTAGCTGAGAACGTAGGATAGTAAGTGTGATACGATATCGGGTGATATTACATGAAGACAGAGGCTATAATTGAACATAGGAACCTTGACCTGACGTAGAGGGAACAAATGAACATAAAAATGCATAAGGAAACTAGAATAGAAAGCAAAGGAACAAGCAGGAAGGCCATAAGAGTAGTGTTGTCCTGAAGCTGGAGGCATTCAGGACCACCAACAAACCAATCGCTATATCTCTGGCCCGGCATCTAACAGTGGGCCGTTTCCCTTTTATAATACTCTGACGCACTGGCACTTTCCTATTATTTTAATTTCTATCGTCCTATGCCTGCATCTAAGGAAAAATGGGGTAGAAGCAACACCCTCATTTCCCATTTCTCATTTCTCCCCTCCTCCCTAGTTAGGGGCGTTTGAGGATCCCCGGGGGAGGGTGAATTGAGCAGCGGCATAAGAAGCGAACTAGACCTGGGCTTGGCCGGTACGGAGGAACAATAGGAAGGGGGTTTTTTCTCCATTTCAGCCTCTTGTGTAAATTGGTAGCAAAAACAGGCATATAAATAAAGCATAACGAAAGCTATCCCAGTCCTTCCATAGATCACTACATGTTTCTCCTCCCCCCTATCCATGTCCCCAATCCTCCACATACCATTAATACTAAGGGAAAGACATGCATGAATAATCTTCGCTGCAAATCATGACACCTCCAAAGAAACAGAAACCGCCTCCACCAGTCCCGAGGGCTCCACAATCAATCACTCGCTGGACGTTGCCAGGGCCTTCTTATCACTTCAACACGAGCCACAACTACTCTAACTTGCCCCCTTCCCCCTTCAACCAGCTCGGGCCACTGTTTTCTTAAGGAGGGGAGCTACCCTTTAGATTTCCTCCGGGTCCAAACTCTCAAGAGGGCATGTGCTAGCAAAGTAGACAAGAGGGTATATAGAACATTAAACAGGATGGGAACAGATATAGTGCTAACATCTTTACTTTGTATGACAAATCTCCCAGCTGAAGCATCGACCGAGTCTCCCTCTCCATGGGCGAGATTAACCAGATTGCCGTGGTTGTATGTGGTTGTATCCCGCAGCACATTCTGAGAACTGACCCAGCTACCCAGCACCAACCGCTTGAAATCACCGCGCATGCTAGCCGAACCTGCATCAATGACACAAAATGGATCCAACGCATATGAAGCCGTTCTGAGTGAAGATATTCCCAGGGCACTGCCCAGACTGACTATGCGCGGCAGCTCAAACTCTCGAGGAAAGACAGTATCTGACCAGAGTTCGTGTAGTTTGAGATTAGGTAACGAATTTAGGGCCCGTCTACCTAACAGTTCCGTCACAAAAATTTGTAGGGTGGGCTCTGACGGTACCGTTAGCTCAGGGTTGTGTTGCAACTGACGGTGCCAAATGCGTTTACCTAATTTTCAACCGTCAGGGATTTTGGGTGCTTAACGGTCAAAACGAGAAGGTGCTCCAGAGGTGCGGTAGCAACACCGTCAGCCTCAAAAATTGATACATTGTCACTATGTCTGGGACCTGTCATGCCCAGAATGGCCATACCACCACTGAAAATCCGATGCTTTTTTGCTCCAGTGGCTCTAGGATACATATATCAGAATTGAAGCCATTGCCGACTCCCATTCAGATTTTTTTTGCATGGCACCATGAGAGATTTAAGCTATAGTGTGAAAACAGCTAAAAAAGAGTCACTAGAATAGGTGGAAGGACTCTTGGAGAGTCATTGTAGATGGCATGTAGAGGATATAAGTTGGGTCCACTGTTTTAATCGGTCGGAAATGGTTGGATGGGAGAGGGAGTTGTGAGCCTAGAGCCTTCACCTTGTGTTTTGTAAAATTTTGGATTTATTCGCTGACGGTGCGGCAAGGGTTGCAGTATGGTAGACGGTGCGTTAAGTAAACACAGAATGAGAATTCAGCCCCTAACGCTGCCGACCGTTAAGAGCCCCTTGACGGTTGCCACCGTCAAGATGATCTAAACGGCCGTCTGTAGGTAAACGGGCCCTTAGCCGCCAGCTGTCCACATCTTTACCACCAAGATGCCATGTCTTTGTTTCCCAGCAATTAAGAACGGGTCGATTTGGAAGGACTTGATATGGAGGGGTATCGTTGGCTTGAGTCTCCCTGGTAGAATACCAAGGGTCCCGGCTGGCGGTGTAGCTGTAACGGCCGGCGGTGTTTGCAATAATGGCGTATGAGAGGTTTGGGGATCGGTCGAGTATCTGCTTTTCGTCATGGAAGAAAGCCAACCATGGAGGGGTTGTTGGTTGTGCGTCGGGTTTTATGTGATAGGTTTCATTTCCACCCCAAAGCCTATAGGTATCTCCCTCTTCTGTGGTGTTCACCAGCCATGTGTATTCTGTGCGACACGCACCCTTGACCCGGAGCACCAACTTCGGATCACTCTGTAACCCCATATCAACTCCGGTAACGTTGTAACTGTAGTTTAGGTTTGACAAGGGGCTTGCTGTCTGCCCATCTTGTGAATCCGCCATTTCTATCGTCACTCGCTTGCGTCGGGCTTGGGGATCAGGGCTCTCTGTGGCTGCTATGGCGCGAAATGCCGAATCAATTCTCATTGATTTTACCCTTAAGAGGCCAGTAGTGTCACCTTGTCGCTCAAGAGTGTTGATATCGGGATAAAAGACTTTGTTAGCGTTGGCTGGGGCAACATTTCCCACAATTATTTTCGCCCCCACAATAGCTCCTATTGCGAAATCCATGAGGTAGAAGCCGAAGAAGACAACAACAAGTACAATGGCTAAACACAGATGTCCAACTCCGGGAATATCAGCATCGGAAATCTCAGCATCGGGAATCCCAGCATCGGTAATCTCAGCATCAGGAACTTTGACATCTTGTCCCCGGTTGGCTTCGCCTCTCTGCCCAATGTTGTCAGAATCCAACCCAGACTGCCCACCCTGATTTTGAGTTACCTTGTCATCAAAACCCTGGTCCTGATAGACTGGCCATTCTGGAACGTTTTTTCGCTGTCTCTTCTCCTTAGGAGTCTTCCGAAGATACAACATCATTTCCTCGATATATTTCAGCATCGCCATCGCGATGTTTAACGAACCAAACTTCCAAAGTTTGAAAACTTTGCCCAACCGTCCATCATGAATCTCTCCAGTGAATGCTATAATCAAGACTCGCACCAAGTCCCATCCCACCATAAAAGTGAATGCGGTATAGATGGTGCAGAGAGCCACTACGAATTGGGCCTCCTTGTTGCTCATAGACAATGCCTGGATCCCGCCAGAGTCTGTCGGCATCGTGAAACGACGCTTCGAGTTGATCAGATAGGTGTCTTTCGTGGAGTATGCATGGATGTCCATAATGAGGCGATATGATATTGGTATACGTGGATCCTACTTCATTAGCTTAACTAGTGGTTAGCCCAAGTTGATAGTTTGTCACACACTGGATTATTCGTAGTATACTTCGCTAGATTTGAGTCAGGTTCAACCAACCGCCAGCAGATCTCTTCTTTCAGTCAATGCGCTTGTCAGGACCGGTGGGGTGAAAAAAAGTCTGAAATTCCCCCTCAGAACTACCAACGAAACCTTGCCGTTGTTGAAATTCTTGCTTAAACCTGGACTTAGTACAGGTAATTGATTGAGGTCAGCAGCCCGGGGAGGGAAGTCATGCCGCTGTTATATGTTTCCTTCATCCAAAGAGCATCAAGGGATGAAAAATAATATAAACTATCTTGCTCTTGGTATTGGGGTGCTCGAGAACCCGATTGGTAAAACCATTGCGATTATCCAGCATGAATGAGGGTGAGTTTCGTATGGCACTGGTGACACAGGTGGGGTGATCGGGTCTACTTTGGACAAAGATTGGCCACTTGGTATCAGCTGGGTCTAGGTATATGGCATGCTAAGACATGAAGTCCCGGGCGGAAGGCATTCATAGCACCCCCGGTGAATGGATATCACAGTAAAAAAAAAAAATCTTGCCATTCGCTTTCGGATTTCTTTGGAGGAAATAGTGGTAACTACCCTGCAGACTTAATTTAGCAAGCTATCAAAACTGTGAAAGCCAGTCGATGCGATCAATCTCTTCCAAAGGGGCCACAATACTGTATACCGTGTTAGGAAAGCCCTAATACCTCTCAAGAGTCTCTGTCTCTAAATAGGGAGGTAGCGAATCGTCGTTGCCAGTGTTCATATCATAATTTACCACCTCCAGTCATGCCCTACAGCACAAGCCCCCGCATGCAGCGTAGGGTATCAAGGGCAGGCCTGTTGAACCCATATGGTTGCCCCGGTGGGCATCCAGATCCAAAAAGACAGGATTCTCACCAGCCGCTGAATGAGAGTCGACCAGACTTTTTTCCTCTAACAAAGATCAGGGTAGATTATCGAGGGGTTGCGGAAAAAATGGCTACACGTATGCTGTAGCAGTTCCGACGAATGGGCCAAAGTTCCACAAACTTGTTGCGCACACCCTTACATGTAGTACGGTACTACGGTAGTACGGTACCGTAAAAAACTCTTGATACCCGCCATCTGAGATCCTAGCAGAAATCAATGTCTAAACTACAATAGGCTTAGAAACTAGATTGACAGGATGACGAATAGCAGTAGATGAGACTTGCCGAGCTTAGCCTCTCCAAGTTGTCTAGGCAGCGCTGTTCCTTCTTGGGGTGTTTTGTCTCTGATCACGGGGAATCAAAGGCGAGGGGCGATGGCGGATTTCAAGAGTTTTCACGGAACCGGTACCCGAGTACATGTATGTCATGGTGCAGGGGCTGAGAGGATGGAGCAATCCGCGGACAGGGGACATGCTCGGCAACCCCGACCGGAGCTAGTCATTCCTGGGCGATCCGAACGAACCACCAAACCTATGCCACGTCCAGGTGTCCATTGGCTATGGCAACCGGGCTACTTGTGCTCCAACGCCCAAGTTTTACGGCACCAGAACAGAGTCGCTCGCAGGACTCGTACGAGTAAATTTCCTCGAGTAAAACCACTCGCATACGGTAGGTAGTATTGTCAGGTGATGAGAAATGCCCATTTATTGGGGCGGCTATCAGACGGGCGGTGTTACTTGTAGAAGTGCCAGGGTTCCCACCCCGTATGGTGGGATGGGACCAACATTCAAACACCGGAGCTTCCCTTTTATGATAGCTTTGGCTCTAGTTCTCAATCTGGAACCATCAGCTCAGTTAAAGCTCAGAAACTCTTATCCGATCCCGGTAATGTCTCAGCTACATGGCACTCCCCGCTTGATCTTCGGTGCAATGATGCGGGATCGGGAGATGAGAGAAAGTGCGTTCCCCGCCCACCACCCCATGGAAGCACTGTGCTCGGCTGCTCGTACGCTCTCACCCCTATCCCATCTTCATCCTCCCTTCGCATGAATTTTCCGGAGCCTTTGGCACTCTCGATAGTATCTGAACCAGCAAGCGAGTTTTAGACTGGTGAACCAGCCACGGCAGATCAGATAAAGAGACTCCCCTCCGTATTCGCGATCCGCGAGCTACAAGTACTATAGAAACCCCTGTTTCAAACGTAGCCACTCGTCATCAATCGCGACCAGGGGAAGCTAAGTTTAAGCTTACAATATCCATTTAGCTCGCCAACGACTGGCACATTATGCGGCTAGGCACACCCTTGGTATTGCTTGTCTCGATGGAGATTTTCTTGAGGAAAAAGTTGCGTGGCGGCAAACCAATGGAAAATTCCCAAACGCGATTCGAGCCGGACACTAGACGCCCCCAAAGAAGTGGGTTCCGCATCCAAAAGGCCTTCCACCCCTGGAACCTCTCAGAATGACCAAGGACTCTCCTCCGCACTTTCTCCTAGCATTCATTTGTATTGATACACAAGCCAAGCTTAATATCAATAGTCGGCCAAAAAACACTCCACTACACTCCGCTCTCCGGGGTATCTCGCGACAAGCTCACCAGACTTCTATCGCTTGTTACCAGCAGAAAGTTTGTTCGAAGGGGCTCGCGCAGCTGTTTTCGGATGCTGTGGAGGCTGTGAGAACTCCCAGCGAGGACGGTGCCAGACAATACTATAAAAATTCGAATGATGGAATCGTGTGCTAGGTTGTTCGAGTTGCCTCCTCTAGTAAAGCCTAGTACTTTTTTTTTCCCCCTCCATCTCTCAAAAGGGCTGGCAGACCTTGTTTTGATAGAGTTTTTCACCCCTTTCCAGAGTACTCGTAGTATGATAAATGCTCGGCTGTACAGCGCGCGGTTCATTTATTTGGTCTCCTAGGGCACTTGAGAATGGGCTGGAGGTTCAGAAAATTAAAAGGCACTTTAAAAGTATTTAACCCCTGGGCGAGCTATAGGGGTTTGGAGTGAAGTGCAGGGCCATACGGCGGCAGGTTATGGGCTCTGTTTTACGGTTTCTCACAACAGCAGAACCCGCGCCAAGATATCCGGATACTTTTGGGATGCGCAAGTACTGGATGGGGGGACTAGGTCCGAAATCATAGGAACAATCCCGGAAACCGTTGCCCGGGTTTCAAGAGCAGATAGAGGAACGTAGTGAGCTGTGGTTGATAGCGGAGCATTCAGGAAGTTCGGGGGTGGTTCCTCTAAAGTTTCAGTGATTTACAAAGAAGTTTCTCCAGACCCTTGTTTCCCTCGCCACCACACGGACATATGAGCAAACGGAAACATGCGTGTAGGCAGAACGGTATCTGCGATAGTCTGCGGGATAATCAGAGCTAAATTTTACATCATTACGTTTTATATCCACTCCTGTTTTACCGTTAGTCTAGATTGATCGCCTAACGAGGAGAAGGAGCTTATGACCATATCACACCTTTCCCGCAGCTACTCCATACCCACCAGTTCCAACTATATTCCGCTCCCTATGCCGCTAGGATATCTACCATCGCCCCCCAAGAATCGTATGTATGAAGGCGGATACAGGGGATTTCTTAGCGATACCCCTCCAGATTTCCGACAGCCGCTATACACACACCAACAGAATCACAGGATATATTCCAAAGGCTATCACATCGATCCGGCCGGTATTACTGAATATCGCTCGTAATACACAGTTTCTTCCGGAATCCTCAGAACAAATGTTCTGGCTCTCCCCCGCGAATACAACCCACGCGTTGGATTTAGCGCTTATCTGTCAAACAGACTAGGTAGTTTCCTTTCATCTCGTTTCTCCGAGTACTTTCCTCACTACTCTCTTTATCGTTAGCCAGTGTTTGAGCTTTTCTTCATCTCTTCTCCGTTTGTCCCAGCTGCATAACCGTGCCATATTCAACTATAATATCACTTTCTTCTCATCATCCGTGTTCCTTCCCAGGTTCTCATATGTTTTCTTCTCCCCCGAGATCTCCCCAAATTCTTTCTTCCGAGGTTCTCATATCACCAACCTCGGGTTCCTGATATTTCTTTTCTTTGCTTGGCTGTTCAGTTTAGCATAAAAGCCCACAGCTGGGCTTATGGTAAGAAAACCAAGCTTCTTTCTAGACAGCACTCATCTCAATCCACAATTCACTTTTTATTCGGGAATCCGCAGAAAAAAAAACCTGCTCTTGCCAAACACCTGATGATGATACAAAAATATGACTACTAGTAATTCCTCAGAAAATGTGATTTTCTGCTTCTTACTAAGAATGCCATTTCAAATATGTGTCGCAACCGAACAAGCCCTAAACCATGCGACTGGCTTTTCATAGAGCGAGAGATCTCCTTCTCCCGGCACAACCCCTACCACCGGTGAATGAAGGAGCATAGAAGAGGGGAAAGTGAGGGTAGTCCTCCCCCCTAGGCGAAGACCCACAAACCGACCTCAATTAGCAATTCGTAAAAGCGTGTGTAGCCGGAGAAATCTCGACCCGAAATCTTTATCAAAGCGCCAGTAGTGGATGGGGCAGGAACTCCCAAGAACAGCGCTGCAGAGACGGAACATATACACGGTGAGAATGATATTAAACGTTCCTCTCTCATCCCCGGATTATGAACCCAGCCACCTTGATCCTCATGGCTCTGACCCTTTTCCCGCAAATAGAGTAACAGATTGCGTTTCCTCCGACTCTCACTGGGACTCCCACACCCGCTTCAGTTCACTTCGCATGCAGACCCAACAAGTCTATTGCGTGAATGCGGGCTGTCAGGTTAGTTCAGTTGAGGTGGACCCGGGACGGGTTTGGTGGTGTCAGGTTACTTTTGACCCCGGGTTCGCCTATATAGGAAAGCTTGGTAGAAAGCGTTGGTTTCTGAGCAGTGCACAGATCATGCGTGATGTTGTTTTCCGCGCGGAGGGCTGCCCGGTGGCTTGTCCGACGCTATCCTTCACCACGCTCTTCTATGCATGTTATTGAACTCCTGGTTTAGTGCCCGGTAGTAGCCCAACTCGGTAGCGACTGGTTTGTTGGACCGCTTTGGAAGTATTGTTTCTAATAACCACACAGTTGTTAAATAGTGCGGCATAGGAAGTCTCTTGTCGTCAAATTTATGGCAGTGTGAACACTCCTACGACTATTATAATATTAGGGCTGGCCTATGTTGGTTGTAGAAATAAATGAGAACAAGAGGGACAAAAGAGAAGGAAGGGCTACTCCCGACCTTTAAGGGTTTCAGAATAATTTATCCGGGAAGCAGTGAAAGCGGCCGGGAATGTGGGGTAACAAGTGCGATACGAGATTGGGTGATACTACGTGAAGACAAGGACCTTAATCGAACACGGGAGGGAACCCCCGTGTGACGTGGAGGAAACGGCCGGACTCGGAAACACATAAGGTAGCTAAAGTACTAGGCCAAAAGGATCCGTACGATGGGTGGTTACCACATGACACCTCAAAACACCCCACTCCTACAATCAACCACCCCTCAACCACGATGCCTCCACACAAGACAGGCTACCTTACAGAGTTTGAGAAAGGGCAAATAGTTGCTCTGAGAAAAAAAATTTTTTTTTTTTGGAGAGATTGGAGAGCTCTTAAACCGTCCAAAGAGTACTGTTCAAACTTTCCATGACCACTTCCAAAAGAGGGGTGATGCAAAAAACCTCCTTATACCTGGAAGACCCAAAATTATCGATTCCAGAACCCAACGCCGCCTAGTCAGAGAGTCTAAGAAGGCACGCCGCCAGACTTTATCAGAATTGCGCAATAATGTTGCACCACATTCCTCCCTCCAAACAGTCAAGAGAGCTTTAGCCTCAGTCAACATAAAGAAATAGAGAGCTAGGAAAAGAGCTCTTCTGAAGGATGAGCATGCTGTTAAGAGGTTAGCTTGGGCAATGAAGTATAAGGATTGGACAAAGGAAGACTTTGAAGGAGTCATCTTTAGTGATGAATCCTTGGTTGAAAAGTCTAAGGATCCTAAGGGTATATGGGTGTTCAGAACACCTGAAGAAAAGTGGCACAAAGACTGTATTCATGGAGTTACCAAGGGGCCAGGGGTAAAGCTGATGGTGTGGGCTTGTATTTGGGGCAGAAATAAGGGTCCTCTGATTCCTATTTTTGACAAGAGTGTGGATAGATTTGTATATATTGGAGTTTTGGAGGATGGTTTAGTTGATGTCTGGCAGGAGGTGGAGGATACAGTTGGGGATCCTATCTTTCAGCAGGATGGTACAAGGATACATACTGCAAGAGATACCATGGCTTGGTTTGAGGAAAACAACATACAGGTTATGGAATGGCCAGCCAATTCTCCTGACCTCAATCCTATTGAGCACTGTTGGAAGAGGATGAAGGAAAAGCTACACCAGCACTTTCCCAACATCCACAAGACCAAGGGGGGCCCAGAAACTGTTAGAAAACATCTAGTAGTAGCTCTAAATCAGGTTTGGACTCAGGATATTGAAGGGGATTTTCTGGAAAGGTTGTGGGAGTCTATGCCTAGTAGAGTTGCTGCTGTCATAGATGCAAGGGGATGGTATACCAAGTATTGATTTTTTTGTTTTCTAATTTTACATATAGCTTTTCTTATATTTATTGTATGTCTACACATATTTTCAGTTTATTTCAAGTAGTTGTGGTTGTAGGGGTAGTAAATTTATAGTGGTAGTGGGGTTGCCGTTGCGTTGCCGGACGGTTCTTTTTGTACCCGTACTTTAAAATGGAAAAGCAAAAGCGCGCTCGGGAAAGCTATAAGGGCAGTGTTTCCCCGATGCCAAATTCATTCGGAACAACTAACTATTATTATGAAGTCCTGATCGGAGTGGAGGTATGATGCTAAAGAGGGAGAAACGAATGTATATTTTGTATCGTAGTTGAAGTCCTGCTTATATTCTGAATCCCCCGGCACTGTGATAGCTTAAATAGAAAATACAAAACTGTTCTATCTATACCAAAGACAACATAACTTTATCACACTCCCGGTATCCAATACCTGGCCTTCCTAACTCAGCGTACACATCCGGAAGAAACTCCATTACCGAGTCCCGAGGGTTTCCGAGGTTCCCGAGGTTCCTTCATCTGCCTGCAGATTCTAAAGGCCGAGAACAGACCGAGGGCTGAGAAGCAATGCCGGTAGATGATCTTTCCACAATCCCTAGCGTCGAACATTATGAAACACAAAAGAAACAAAACTGCAAATAAGCTAAGGATATAACAAAGAAATATTTTGACCCGAGGGCTTCCAGCCGTCCATGTGAGTACCGGTGATTTTCAACACTAACGGACCAATAGCTATGATAGTTCTCTGGTCGGGAATCTGACAGTTAGCCGGTTTCCCCAATACCGGCACTGTGGCTCACGGGCACATTCCTATCCCTCTGATTGCCCTGGCGCTGTGCCTCTTAGCCGAGGCAAAATAGAGTAAAAGCAACACCCTCCCTCCCCATCTTCTCCCATTCTAAGTAGTTCGGGCGGGGCCATTGTAGGATCTGTGGCGGAGGTTAAATTGAGAACCCGTATAGTGAGGGGACTAGACTGGTATTTGACCGGTACTGTACAGAGGAACAATAGGAAGGGCATAGTCGGGAATTTCGCACTCCCTTTCGGCATCTTCTGCAAACATGTGGTAAAGACAGGCATATAAATAAATCATAACGAAAGTATCCAAATGCTTCCATGGATCATCACATTTCTCTCTTCTCCTTCATGCATGTCCCTAACCCTCCATATACACACACACTAGCGATGTTAAAGGAAAGACATGTATGGAGAGACTGCTCCGTAAATCACGCTAACTTCAAAGCAAGAAAAACCGCGTCCACCATTACCGAGGGCTCCACAACCAACTACAACTCACTGTCCTTTGCCGGGGACCTTCTACAACTTCAAACTGAGTCCCACCCACTTTAACGTAGCCTCTTCCTCCCCCAACTGGGTGGCGCCATTCTCGCCTTAAGGCAGGCAGCCACACCCTCGTGGTGCTTTTGGGTCCAAAGTTTCAAGAGGCCCAGTGCGGCGGTGATAGACCAGAAGGCACACAGAACAGAATACAGGAGATGGACGGATATGGTGCTAACATCCTTACTTTGGATGACAAATCTCGCAGCTGAAGCATTGACAGAGTCTCCCCCTCCCTGGGCGAGGTTAACCATATTTCCGTGATTGTATGTGGTTGTATCCCGCAGCACATTCCGAGAGCTAATCCAACTACCCAGCACCAGTCGCTTGAAATCACCGTGCATGCTAGCCGAACCTGCATCAATAACATAAAATGGTTCCGACGCATATGAAGCCATTCTGAGTGAAGATATCCCCAAGGCCCTACCTAGGCTGACTATGCGCGGCAGCTCGAACTCCAGAGGAAAGACTGTATCTGACCAGAGGTTGTGTAGTTTAAGATTAGGTAACGAATTTAGCCGCCAGCTGTCCACATCTTTACCACCAAGATGCCATGTCTTTGTTTCCCAGCAATTAAGAACGGGTCGATTTGGAAGGACTTGATGTGGAAGGGTATCGTTAGCTTGAGTCTCCCTAGTCGAATACCAAGGGTCCTGGCTGGCGGTGTAGCTGTAACGGCCGGCGGTGTTTGCAATAATGGCATATGAGAAGTTTGGAGATCGGTCGAGTATCTGTTTTTCGTCGTGGAAGAAAGCCAACCATGGCGGGGTTGTTGGTTGTGCAATGGGTTTTATGTGATAGGTTTCATTTCCACCCCAAAGCCTATAGGTATCTCCCTCTTCGGTGGTGTTTACCAGCCACGTATATTCTGTGCGACACGCACCCTTGATTCGGAGCATCAACTTCGGATCACTCTGTAATCCCATATCAACTCCGGTAACATTGTAGCTGTAGTTTAGGTTTGACAAGAGGCTTGCTGTCTGCCTATCCGGTGAATCCGCTGTTTCTATTATGACTCGCTTGCGTCGGGCTTGGGGATCAGGGCTTTCTGTGGCTGCCATTGCGCGAAATGCCGAATCAATTTTCATTGATTTCACCCTTAAAAGGCCAGTGTTGTCACCTTGTCTCTCAAGGGTGTCGATATCGGGATAAAAGACTTTATCAGGATTGGCTGGGGCGACATTTCCCACGATCAGTTTTCCGCCCACGATAATTCCCATTGCGAAATCCGTAAGGTATAAGCTGAAAGAAACAGAAAAAAGTAGAAAACACAAAACCAGATCTCTAACCCCTGGAATCTCTTTGTTGGGTATCCCAGCATCGGGAATCCCTGTGTCGGTGATCTCTCGGTCGGTGGCCCCTCTCTTTTCTAAGGATAACTTTTGGGCTTCGGCGCGTTGTCCCCCGTTGGTTACCTCTCGCTGGCCAACGCTGTCCAAACCCAACCCGGGCTGCCCGCTCTGAACTTGGGTTACCAGTTGATCAGAACACCGGTCCTCATATACTGGCCATTTTGGAACGTTTTCCGGGCGTCTCTTCTCCTCAGGAGTCTTCCGAAGATACAACATCACATCTTGGGAATATTTCAGCATAGCCATCGCAACATTCAACGAACCAATCTTCCAAAGGTTGAAAACTCTGCCCAACCATCCACCATGAACCTCTCCCGTGAATGCTATAAACAGCATTCGCACCAACTCCCATCCTACCATAAAAGTGAATGTGGTATAAATAGTACAGAAAGCTACTAGGAAATGAGCCCTTTTGTTGCTCACGGCCGATGCCCGGATCCCGCCCGAGTCTGTTGGCATCGTGAAAAGCGAGTTTATCACATAGGTGTCTTTTCCGGAGTATGCATAGATGTCCATGATGAAGCGATGTGATATTGGTATACTAGGATCGGTTTTCATCAGCTTAACCAGTACTTAGTCAAAGACGATAGTTTGCCACATACCAGATTATTTGTAGTATCTTTCACTAGATTTGGGTCGAGCTCAATCGACCACCAGAAGATCTCTTCTCTCAGTCCAGGCGATTGTCAGGACTGGCGGGTGCGAAAGAGGAGATTATATCTGAAATTCCACCTTGGGACCGCCAGCGAAACCCGGAATCTGTCGAAATTCTTGCCGAAATCTAGACTTAGTGTAGGTGATTCACTATTCCTAGGAAGCCATACCACTTATAAAAGTTTCCTTCATCCAAGGGGCATCACGGGATGAAGAACAATACAAACTGCTTTGCTCCTGATATCGTGGTGCTCGAGAACTCGGTTGGTAAAACCGCTGCGGTTATCCTGCATGAATCAGGGCGAGCTTCGCAAGGCACTGGCGACACAGGTGAAGTAATGTCCGCTTTTAGCGAAAATTGTCTACGACTCTAGTAGACGTTAGCCGAACCTAGGCATACAGAACGTTGAGACATGAAGTCTTGGGCGGAAGGCGAGTGTCCTGGTGCAAGAGCGGAGAGGATGGAGCAATCTTCAAACAAGAGAGAGGTACATTAGTTATGATCGAAGCCAGCCATTTGTGGGCGATCCGAAGGAACCACTATGCCACCTTTAGATGTCTAGACCTGTAGCACCATGCAACACCACCCGAAAAACCACCCGTGCCGGGTGGGGTCTTGACACTTACCGGTAAACAAGGGGCAAATGTCGGTGCGAATAAAAAAGGCGGTGTCACTTTCCTCTTCTATATATTTGCTGGTGCTAAGATGATGCTTTACCCAGCGTATGCTACTGGGCCCCTTCGTATCTTTAGCTTGCTCCAAGATAGGGTCCGCAGAAAATGGCCAGGCGGAGCAAGGGCTTAGTGACCAGGTGTCACAAACCGTGACTAAGCAAGGCAGATTTCACATAGTTCGGAATTCAGAACTATAGGTATGTGGGGTTTTCACATGACGCACACTAGTATGTCATAGGTTATTATGTGTAGCTGCTCGTGACTCACAGTGGTGAGTCATATGATGTTATGATTTTCGGACATGACTCATAATTATGAGTCGTGGGTTTCACTCAGGTGACGCGAGTTGCGCACCTGACTTAGTTATGATGTTTTAATTGGTTTTTAGGCATGTTGCGCAGCGACTCATAAGAGTCGTCTGATGGATTTTACATGACTCATAGTTATGAGTCACAGGGTTCGTGTGACGCAAGGTATGAGTCACGCGAGGTGAAGAGCGAGTATATAAAGGGGTCGCTAGGACTCCATGTATGAGCTCTTCACACGTTCTTCTTGTTTATTTCCTACCTTTAAGTTATTACAATAAAACCTACCTTTACGCTCTTTAAGATTTATCTTAAGAAACCCGAGAATAGTCTTTCCTCCCATAGGACAACTATCTTTCTCATACCACGCGAGACTAAGTCCTGAGCCAAGACTTGAGAAGATCAGAGGAATAGGCGTGGTAAGATAGAAGTCAGAGGACTGGACTATCGCTATCGCGTAGGCATAGGCCTAAGAACTATTACCTCGCCCCAAGATAAGAATCGTTACCTGTCGCACTCCTACCCCGGTTAGCATTCTTAACATTAGAACGTGTCTACAACGGGACACTTAACGATTACACAACGGATCCGTTCAACAGAGATCACGAGGGAGACGTCGACGTCCAAGACGAAGGATTTGGACTGGAAGAAATAGAACAAGCACTAAGCGAAGCAAGTCAACACTCGGCAAGAACTGCAAGTCCAGTCACACCCGAACGAGTTATCTTTCCTGACGAAGAGGAAGTACCAGAAACACCTAGACCTGAAAGAATGTCAGGACCGACACCCCCGTCAGGCCCACCTCCAGCAGGGCCAGCACCCCCTCAAATGATTCCACGTGATGAAGTGGAACAAATGATACTGGAAGCTATAAGGGGAAGAGGACAATAACCCAAAGTCAAGACTCCACCACGATATAATGGGGAAAGAAGCAAACTACGAGAATTCATGGTCCAACTCCTGACCTACTTCGACGCAGTCGGATGGATACAAGGAAACGATCAGGACAAAATACGATACACTCTCACCCTACTGGAAGGAACAGCCCTAAAATGGGTAACCCCTATAGTGGTCAGCAATACGGCACCTTGGACAGATTGGGTCGGCTTCAAGACAGTATTTGTGGCACAATTCACGGACATCGAATTGAGTCAATCGGCACGAAACAAATTGGAAGAAATCCGCCAAGGAACAAAAAATGTCACGGACTACTGGTACGAGTTGCGACTACTCCAGTATGACGTAGAGTGCGACGAGGCCTCTGCTATGAGATGGTTCATGAAAGGCTTGAGGAAAACCTATCAAGATGCATGGAGATATAGCGAGGAAAGATTTACCACGACGGAAGAAATGGCCCACTGGGCCATTCGAAAAGAAATCCAGTTTGGGCAACTAGACTGGATTCAAAGAAATCAGTCAAACATAACCCAAGGCAACAATACAAATACAAGGAACCCAGGAGCATCCAGGAACCTGAACAGAGCATTCAGAACCACCACTCAAGGAGGTGACGCAATGGACCTGGATGCAACTAGGAGAAGACCCTCGCTTAACCTTTCAAAAGACGAGTACCTCCGAAGACGCAACAACAATCTATGCCTAAAATGTGGAATAGGAGGACACATGATTAAGGATTGCAAACGACCGGCCAATCCCAGCTCAAACCAGAGCAGGACTCAGCAGAACATGAAGGCGAACCCGAGAGTGCAACCACGCAGCAACTTAAGGGAAATCGAAATCGAAGACGAATACGAAACAGTGGCAAAAGACGAAGGTCCCCAGCAATAGATGGTCTGTGGGACCCTCCAAAAGACAAACCCATCTCAGTGGCCAACTATTACACTCTTTTAAGCCAGAAAACGAACAACAATGACAATGATCATATCATGATCAAAACCACCATCTTTAACGACAATAAACAAGTAATAAAGATACATGCAATGCTAGAATCAGGGGCAACCGAAGACTTCATTGACAAAGAAGTCTGCAGAAAATATCAACTAAAGACCAAGAGAGCAAAGAAGGAAAGGCAGATTTTCCTCGCAGATGGAAAAGCCAGCGCTATGGGTCCTATTACCCATACTGCGCCAGTACCTATGGAAATTGGAGACCATAGAGAAGTGGCGACTTTCCAAGTGGTGAACCTGCAACACCATGAGATCCTTTTAGGAATGCCATAGTTAAAACAACACAACCCCACACTCAATTGGGAAAAAGGAAAGGTTACTTTCACCAGCGAACGATGTACGACATGGTGTCTCAACAGTTCACCGGTGGTATATGCAACCCCCGAGGAAGAAGCATTCGAGAAGAATCTGGACGCAAGGTTCAACCAAGTACAACCAAGGAAAGATCAATGGATCAAAGTTCAAAAGCTCAGCTACGGAGCCAAGATACCCACACGAGGGTCTAAGAAGACGGCAGGACACGACCTGTACACCCACCAAGAAGTCAAGATACCAGCCAATGGGCAGGTAACTATCCCAACGGGAATTGCCATCGAGTTACCTCAAGGCACCTATGGACGTATAGCACCACGCAGCAGTCTCGCAGTCAGATACCGACTCACTACCAATGCGGGTGTGATAGACGCCGACTATACAGGTGAACTGAAGGTAGTAATGGTTAACCAGGATGACAAGGAATACAAGGTGGAGAAAGGCGATAAGATCGCACAGTTGATCATCGAAAGAATCAACAAAGAGGAACTCCAAGAAGTGGAGGATTTAACCAAGACCACCAGAGGGACCAAAGGATTCGGAAGTACGGATCGAGATACAACAACCAAGGACCAACCAAGGATAGAGATCAATCGAATATCAGCCCAAGCATTTGGAAAATTTTACCGCAAAGGAGAAGTTGTGGGAATACTCTGTAACGACCCTACGTTATAGAGTTATGGCAACCTAAGTCTACGCCCATACATAAGACCTAGAGGTTATATGGTAGACTAGGA